GTGTGCAAAATGAGCAATACAATTCATTAATAATACGTAGAATATTAAAACACACGAGGAAATGACACAGCATTGTATTCGTTGATTACAAAACCAGTGACTGACTGGTTCTACATATAAAACTGAAGAAAATAAGACCTTGGTTGTAGCTGTAGTAAAATTAATATGGTTGTTTTAAGTAATGTTATTAATGTTAATAAATGGAACAATAGAAGTAGCTAACGATAATGGTAAAGAAAAAAGAGAGATCGCATATGTAAGTGCGCATGCGCACACGTGAAAACATATCATCATTACTTTACATAAGAATATGAAAGCAACATTTATTTACTGTTCATATATATTTTAATTAATGTTTCTGAATTTTTTTTTATTGAATTAATGTACGTGTGTGCAAAATTAACAATACAATTTATTAATAATACGTGGAATATTAGAGGGGACGAGACGGCTGCCGGCATTGTTTATGTTAAAGCTTACGAAACCAGTGACTGATTGGTTCTACATATAAAACTGAAGAAAATAAGACCCTGAGTTTAGCTGTAGTAAAATTAATGTAAAAAATGAATATGGTTGCTTGAAGTACCTGTAATGTTATTTAATGTTAATAAATGGAACAATATAAGTAGCTAACCATTAATGGTAAAAAAAAAGTGAGACTGCTCGTATGTAAGTGCGCACATGTGAAAATATATCGTCATTACTCTACATAAGAATATGAAAGCAATACTTATTTACTGCTCATATATATTGAAGGGTTAAATGTTGTACTCTGTATAGACTAGCAGAGAGAGAGAGAGAGAGAGAGCAGCCGAACTGCCGGATGTAAACAAACCTTAATTTCCTGCGACTTTTTATTTTTATTAAGGGGATTAGCCCACCCGGGAATAGGTCACTGACCCACATTAGGGCCTGAGGGGCAAAAATTTAATGATCCTGTAATAATAATAATAATTCAGATAAGTAAAAAAAAAGAAAAAAGAAGAAGCTGCCTATCTACCTATTGGACAAACTAAAATCGTTCCGGACCACGGGAGTTTCCGGACCACAGAATGCCGGACTAGAGAGGTACAACCTGTATCTGTATTTACCACAATCTCTGTAAAAATACTTTAGGTTTTGTGTTTATTCAAGACATCTTCAGGTCATGAGACCCACTAATCCTCCACCCAAGAAAGGGTAACCTCACATTTCATCAGATCAGTAATACGAGACCGCTAATCCCCCATCCTGCCTCCACCTGACATTGCATCAGGTCAGATCAGTTACATGAGACCCAATAATCCCCCACAGCTCTATGGGAGTGAAAAATATCAATCTTTGCTGTAACACAGCTTCATTCATGTCATTATCCTGCAGATTTTTAATTTTTAAATATACAGCTATTTATTTAATTAACCAAACTTTTAGATAAACTATTCTGGATTACAGTGGTCCCTCGGTTAATGAACACAATTCATTCCACAGAGTCGTTCGTTAACCGAAAATTTCGTTAACTGAATCCATTGTTTCAATGGGATATTGGGTAAATTGGTTCCAGCTCACAGAAAAGTACATACAAAGTAAAAAAAAATGTCGTAAAGTACACTTACTTTGAGGTGTGTATGTAGAAGGTTCCTGGTTGATGATGATGATGGGAATTAGAAGTGGGGGTGGAGGAGAAGGGAGAAGAGAAATCACCTTTCAGGGGACCCATGCTTGATTCCGTCATTTTACCAATAAAATTTTAGGTTCACTGGGTGTAATTCAAGATTATTTTATTTAAATCAACACCGCACTGTGCTATATATTATCAATATGTTAACTAAATTTCAGAAGGACCAATAATTTCAATATAAAAATGCAAAAATATTCAAGACACCAACAAAATAGATGTTCACTCCACTGTCAACAAAGCCACACTGACGCCTGATGGCTGAGTCAAGCGGTTGATGGGCGCACAAAAAACTAGTTCCCTGTACTGCATGTATTATCAATATGTTAACTAAATTTTAAAATGACTAATAATTTTAATATAAAAATGCAAAAATATTAAAAAGCACAACTTTCTTGATATTTACTCCACTGGAAACGAATGTAAACATAGAACAGATTACTGAATTGGCAGACTAGCCCATCAGCTGATAAGCTGATGCTCACAACAAAACGTGTTGTTCGTAAGGATTTCATTAATAAAAGTTTTGTTCATTAGCCGAATTGAAAATCCTTATGGGAGGTAATTCGTTAACCGAAATTTCGTTAATCAAACCGTTCGTTAACCGAGGGACCACTGTATTATAGTAAAGAAATTAAATTTCTAACTTAATTACATCTGTATTTACAGATTCCTGTAGTTTAGACTCAAGGAAAACATCTTCAGAAACATTCTGGGGAAGTGGGGTAGTGTGTGTCTGTGGAAGAGGTTCTAGTTTAGACACTTGGAAACTTTTCCCAGTACAGTAACTGGAAAAGGTTCCGGGTATAAGAAATTTTTCCGGGTTTGAGAAAGTCGTCTTGTTACCCGGAAATCTCTCATCCCCAGAAGTGCTCTGCACCAATTGTTCTGGCTTACGTGGAATTTTACTGTATTTGGCCTATAAGATGACACCTGGTTTCAAGGTGGTTTTTTGTTGATTCAAGTGTCATTTTATACACCAAAATTTACGATATTAGGAATTCTTAATGAGAGAAGCTTTAAGTGATAATGATGAACTAAAATTTAATGGTAAAGTAATATCAAATAAACTCAATGCAGATGATACTGCTCTTATTATGAATATTGAAGAGGTATTACAAAAACTCGTTAACAGGGTAGAGGAAAAGGTAAAAAATATGGTTTAAGAATTTATACAAGTACAGTAGAATGTCGAAAAAACGCGAGATACGTTCCAAGAGAGGTTGCTTTAAACCAAATTCGCACTAAATCAAAGTGTTGTTTCAATGGAATAATTTTGTTTGGTACTTGCGAGAATCGCAAAATACTAAAAAGACTGACAGTCTACCCAGATGCACCTCAGCCCATCTCCTAGAATAAAAAAACCCAATTGTTTTTGTAGTATTATGTTGAAAGAAACACTCATAAATCAACACAGCAAAAATTATGGGAGTCAAAATGGTCTGTTTACTGGCTGGGAAGATGGGGGGGAGGGAGGTGAGTGATATGTTTGACAGTTGATGCCAAGGTCTAGTGTTTATTTATTTATCTGTCCTTAAGAGTGACTTTAAGTTTTTCTCTTAGAAAATGTCACTGAACTGACCTGGGAGAATAAAATTAACATTGCTGGAATTCTTATAAGATAGTGATTAGTTTGAATATATATATATACTGTCCATGCTATAGTTTGCATTAGACATATAAATGGCTAAAAAATTTAAGTTTTGTGCAAAATATATGAGGTTTATATTCAAATTATTCACTGTCTTGCAAGGATTCCAGCAATGCAAATTATATTCTCCTAACTTTAGTCTGTGATATTATATAAGATAAAAACTTAAAGCTTACTGTATAACCACCAAACCCTGGCTGAGAGGGGGGGGGGGAAGGGGGGGAGGTGACAGTGACATATTTGACAGTTGGCACCAAGGTCGAGTGAAGTATTTATTTATTTGTTTATTTATGTCCTTTATATTGAGTTTTTGTTTATAAAATGTCACAGAAGTGACTGGAGAGAACATAATTTACATTGCTGGAAATCATATAAGATAGTGAATTAATTTGAATACCTGTATAATCATGCTATAGTTTGCACAAGACAAAAATTTTAGTAATTAATTAGTACATTATTTTGAGTACATGTACAGTACAGCTTTGCCCTTAGGACAGTGTAGCGTGCCCAGAGAAACATTAGGCGTGTCTTTTAAAATATGATGCGCCAGATTGACTCGCGCAAAATAGGAAAGAGTCAATTTAAATTGAAACATTGTCCTTAATTGTGGGTGTCGCTTTAAATCAATAATCTTTAATTGAATCGCTATAAATCAACGTTCTACTGCTCCGTGAAGACTAAAGTAATAGTTGTTTCCAAATTAGAAATAAATCCTACAATAAAAATTATTGTAGGAAACAAGAATTTAAACGGGTGGATTTTTTTTTTTTTGTAATTGGGAAGTAACACTAGCTTAATGGTGTGGGTCAGCAAAGATAGCTGGGTCGTTAATCTTGAAACAACTGTTGTAGTGTTTAAAATGTTTTTTCTCACTAAAATCCATATGCCGATATATGGAAGAAATAAAAGCAAAAATAGGGCAAGCAAAAACAACATTTAATAATAAAAGATCTAATGAAAAGGGACATTAACTTCAATTTGAGAAAAGGGCTGCTGAAAGGCTTTATGATATGGCAAGTACTGATGTATGGGTCTGAGTGTGGACACTGTCAGCAGACACCAGAGAGAGGTTGGAGGCCTTTGAAATGTGGTGTCATGGGTGAATATTAAGAATAAGCTACACTTACAGGAAAATAAATGAAAAAGTACTGTACAGTACTAAGATTAGCAAAATCTTCAAGAGAAATACTTGAAATATACAGAAAAAGAAAGATGAGATACAGGACTGTGATCATTGATGATGAATGAAGTTTAGCTTCTGCTTTGACATGTAAGAATGGACTATCTGACATGATATGAGGTACACAACATCCTGTCATGACTAAAGAATTTTACAGACTGTCTGGCCTTTGGAAGACTAAAAAGTTTCCCTCCAAATACTTAACCCAGTTACGCAATGCACTCGGTAAACTCCCTTAACACACAACTCTCCCAGATCCAGATGTGCTGGGTGAAGGATGTGATTGTGCATTCTAACTTGAACAATGCATTCCTGTCACTAAACTGTCTTGTCTCCTGGAAGCTGGGTAGACTACCATGGATCAATCAGTGTGCTGGATCTTCAAAACTTCCAAATCTGTTCAAATAATCAAGTTCACAAGATTTGCAGACAGACAGAAAAACACACATACTGTACATACAAAAGTAAAAGAGGACAAAGAGTGAGGATCTTATTGATTACTAAGAATTTTCTACCTTTTGGATGACTAATGGAGAGATGATACTGCAGGTCCTTGTATCGATCAAACGACTGTTTGCAGGATTCTTGAGGGCAGGCATAACGATTCTTCCCGTGAATCAAGTTGTGACGCTTAAGTCGACTCGGAGTCTCACACCGGGAATCACACCCTGGGAAGTCACATCTGGAGAGCGGTAAGAAACAATATCTATTAAACTATGTTCTTATATACAGAAAATTGAGGTGTAAGAATCCTTTTCATGGCTAAAAAGATGAACATATACCAATGCCAAGCACTTAGGCAGAGCCTCCCACTGGCTAGAGGGCAATGTTTGACAGCTGGTCTTGCTATCTTGGTTGATAATGTTTGCTTCATGTGATGAGTGCAATGTTGCATACCTACGAAGAAAACCAGTATGAATTTGGTCTGGAAATCAAGGTAGAAGCTGCAATTTGGCAGGATATTCACTTTGTCACAAAACCACAGGAGATTGTACACTTTTAAGACCCCTCATACCAGTTACAGTTATTTCTGCTACAATGCGTGTTTTGTCAACATGAATTGGTTGCAACGAGATTGATGAATAGGGGAACGCTGTTTGTAAAATGCAAACTTTTGCATACGAATGTTGGCTATAGTGTGGGGTTATGCAACGTTTACAGTTGACGTTCAACATCACATGTTCAATTGATTCATGTCTTGTTTGTGAAGTGTATTTTGAGAGGTACTCTGTAATTTTTTTTTTTCAAATTTAGCTGTTACCCATAAATACTGTATGAAAAGAATAAGTAAAAAGAATGTTTCGCAGTGAGGACTAATAACGGTTTACACCGGCGCTCTCTGTTTACATCACACGATCAGTTGAATCGTGCAGTTTCTGTCAATTACTCTGTGATTTTCGCTATTTTCTCCAATTTTGTTGTGTTAGCGATGAATATGGAATGACAAGGTAAGAAGAATGTTTCCAAGAAGCGATCTGGTGATCGAATTGCCGGTGGTGAACGTCAAAGAGGTTTACAAGAACGTAACTATCACGTTGTAGCCCACGCCATCCTAGCGACCGCCCGGTCTGCTATTGTGTGCTTTTTTGGGTGGTGCTACCACCTGTCAAGTCAAGATAATGGCCTCTACCTCTACTGGGGGTCCTACTGGTGCTGGTGGGGGTGGGACAGACCCACCTAAGCGGCAAATAAGGAAAAGAAGAAGCGGGACTATCATAAGGGAGTTAAGTTTGTCAAGTACCCGATGCAGGATAAGCAGTGTGTGATTAAGTTATTTGAGGAAGGCCAAGAAAATAGTTTCCGAAAAGCACAATCAAGTCAATAAAGGCAGAATTTGTATCATTTGGAGGTTATAAATAGGAAAATCAGAGGTTGATGTAGAGTGGCCAGTCTATAATGCTATTTTTCCCATTAGTTTATGTATTTGCATTTGGCAAATTTGAATTTGACGCAATTTTTCCAGTCTATATTACTTGCGAAATACAAGATCTTACTGTACTCTACTTTATGAAAAATATGAGCAGTCCAAATTTACGTTCTGTAACTGACCACATTCAACACCTGACGAGTTATTGTGTCATCCGAAATTCCCACCGTTTTGTTTAATGGGCACACTACCGTATATCGCGGCCTATAAGGCGTCGGGGTGCATAAGACGGCCCCCCCCAAATTTCCATTTAAAAAGTAGCTTTTGAGCTCTATTTGCTGTATAAGACCAGTACCCCAAATGTGACACTTACCCACTGACTCAGTAGTCCTTTACCAACCATCCTTGGTTTTTTAAAATAAAGCCAATTCACTTCAAGTAATGTCATCAAATATTACCCGCTGGTGTAGTGTAAACACTAGTGACGTCACTGAAGCGTCTGCTATTTACCGGTAACTGGAACTAATGTCGGTGTCGAGTAAAATTTTTCCATTTACTTGAAATGGATTTACCGATTTATTTGTTTATTAATTTATTTATAATATACTGTAACATATTAAACACACTGAAAGTATTTTCTTTCATTTATACGCTTGCTTCGCACGAGACGATCGGTGGTGGGAGTGTTCCCTCGTCTCGGTGGTGTGGCTGTGTTCCGACTATTTATACAACAGGTGGTTCAACAGCAACCACCGTATTCTAATTGTGGTGTTTCATTAGGATTTGAGTGAAAAAGGTTACCGGTATGTACTTACTACATACATTTATTACACAAACATATATATATATACAGTGGGGTATGCTATAACGAATCTAATTGGTTCTAGAACCTTGTTCGTTATAGCATTCGTTCGTTATAGGATTAATCCGTTCCAGGCCACCAAATACAACCACTTAACACTAAAAAATATAATATAAAATTGTAAAAATTGTAAAAAACTGCATAAATATGCATCTAAACCCCTGAAATAACCAATATCATTAATACTTGTAATAAAAAAACAATAAATTAAGAAAAAAAAAAAAAAAATAATTTTTTTAAATAATATTAGATTGTAGGAGTTTACACAAGTTAAGTTATAGCATTCTCAATTTTATAAGTGGAAAAACCGTTCATTATAGAATATTATTAGTAGGATCGTTCATTATAGCATACCCTACTGTGTTATATATATATATATATATATATATATATATATATATACATATATATATATATATATATATATATATATATATATATATATATATATATATATATATATATATATATATATATAATTATCTCGATTGTGGTGACTAGGAATCCCATCGGCTAGGCCACAAGCTGCCTTTAGTCACACCCAGTAGGCTCGAGGTTCGATTCTCTGCTGGTGAGGTCGTGGATTATATGTTCAAAGTCCGCTGTTATATGGACTAAAATGAAGTATATATATATATATATATATATATATATATATATATATATATATATATATATATATATATATATATATATATTATATATATATATATATATATATATATATATATATATATATATATATATATATATATATATATATATATATATATATATATATATATATATATATATATATATATATATATATATATACTGAATATACTATGTACAAAAATGAATGTTCAATGAATTATTTATGGTATTAGGTACTGGCCACTTCAGACAAAGATGGGCTATAAATAGCCTTGTTATCAATCCTTACATCTCACCCCTGAGCCAGAGGGAAGCATCTTTAAATAACATTTGTTTGCTTATTTTCCATTTACTTGAAATAGATTTACCGAATTATTTGTTTATTTATTTATTTATAATATACTGTAATATATTAAACACACTGTAATTATTTTCTTTAATTTATAAACTTGTTTTGCGACAAAGGAATGTTCTCCAGTAGTGTTTCATTAGGATTTGAGTGAAAAAATATTACGTACTTACTTCATACATTTATTACACAAACATATTTATATATACGGTATATATATATCCTTCATAACCGAGTCATCCGGGAAATACGCACTGCAAAGAAGTCCCACTACCCAACCAAATTACAACACCTGAAGCAGACCAACATCAGTCAATGGTATGGTAAGCTTAAAGAACTCTGTGGACTAAACAATAAGAAACACCCCTCCTTCCTTAGCCATTAAACTAATGTTGACGCAGCTGAGCAAACAAATAACCATTTCAGCTACTATATGCCAGCGGCTCCCCCGGCTTGCAACCTCTCCCTGCACCTACCCCCCCTTCCCACTGACTTAGTAGAAGAATTTGAAGTAGCAAAACGCCTAGACAAACTAAAATTAAGACGCTCTACCACCCCATTGACTTACCAATGAAACTCTTCAGGAGTTCTCCCGAGCTTTAAACCCTATGCTCCATCATCAATGCTTCTCTCAGTCAAGCCAGATGCCCAGCTGACTGGAAGACCTCTTATGTATCACCAGTGCCCATCAACCAGCCCACAATCCTTAAATCAGCTCGACCTATTGCAATCACCCCAATACCCAGCCTAATCTGTAAGCTTTGTTCGACTGGGCTTATGCTGATATTGCAGGATGCATGGAGCCCTCAGCAATTGGCAACATGACTTCCTCCACCACTCACTGTCTTGTCAGCTTTCGATTACATATATTTCTCGATTACATATACCGCCATCTCGAGAAACGAAAACGTCTGTAGCTGTCGCCTTCATGATTTCACTAAAGCGTTCGGCCTGAAATCGATACAATATAATCATCAACAAAGCTAATGACCTCGGGCTTCGGAGGAGTCTTATACCATATTACAGACTTCCTCAGTGACCGGCAGCCAAGCTGTAAACTTCCGAGGGGCTGTCTCCACCTTTCAGTCACTCACCTGTGGCGTCCCCAAGGCACCAAGATGGGACCACTCTGCTTCATATGCTCATCAATGAGTGCCCTAGAGAAACCCTGCTCGCTGGAAATATGTCGGCGACTCCACCATTGGGATCCAATCAACAATTCTGCTCCCAACTATACCGCCCTTCAGGATTTAGACAGTCTCCCAAACTGAATACCAACAACCATGTCACCATAGCCATACCAAGACCATGGTTATGCACATCCAACCTCTCCTCGACATTGTCCCACCTCCTTCCATTACTTTAGGTCCGAACACACTCAGGTTGTAGATTCCACAGCTCCTCGTAGTCACCATAGACAACAAACTAAATTGGAAACCACCGTCAATTGAAGTTGTCAAATCCTCCGTTCCGTCTCCACCTCTCATGACTCAAGTCCCTCGGAGTTTCCCTGCACAGGCTCTCAGTGTTTACAACATTCATACTTCCCAAGCTCACTATACCTCCCCACCTGGTCTTCCTCTAAAATGCCACACAAACGTAAACACCTAGAAAAAGTGCAAGAGGGCATGCAAGATTATTCTCTCCTTCCTACTCCACATATCAAAAGCGCTCAACACACTGACCCTTCGACTCCGTGTCTTCTGACCTCATCTACAAATTTGGTAAAGGCTTCTACACTGCATCCTCGACACCGGCTCCTACTACCACCTGAGAACCCTGGTCAAGGAATTGCTGTTCGACTACAACGCATCCAGCCCATACGTTACACGAGGGCAGTCGCTATAAGAACAGCCCAGTCCCAACCATTGTAAAATTATCAATAACTTGTAATAAACCAGTGTATTCACTCCAGTAAAGCTTCTACTTGCACTATCACTATATTTGAAATGAACTGTAGTTTGAGCT